GTGAGTTGAGGGCATGTACTTTAATGTGGTTGATAATTTTAATCACATTCTGAAAAATATAAGTACACATGACATTTTTTGTCTAGCAAGCACAGCATTTCTGTGTGGATGACACAGTGCATAGACTCACATTCCCTACCTTTCACTGAGGTAGGGAAACCAGAAAACTGTCCCGTCATGGCAGCCACTCCATTCGTGTGTATCCGGACCCAAAATGACTAATTCAGTTTTCCTAATATATAATCATTCAAAGACTTGAATAGTTCTCCAGCTGTGATGTTTGGCAATAAAAGTGCACATAACATATCCTCATGCACATCCTCCTGCAAATATACCATACGGAAGCAGATACTGTTGCCTCGTTGTCAGTATTGGTAGACTTGTCATCCCAGATTGCGTATCACGGTGACTCACTAATCCTAACAATTGTGCATCAGTATCTTCTGCCATTTCATCAGTTCATCTAGTTATGGTGCTAGCTGAAAGGAGCCATCTTTTGAACTGCAGCCTCTCCTAAGAGTTCATGACAGATGTCCTCAGCAGCAGGCAGGATCAACTCTTCACCAATAATAAAGGGATTCTTAGCTTTAGCAATGAAGCGAGCCACTAAGAATGATGCTCTCAGTGCAGACACATTTGTTGAAGTGATAGTTTTCAACAATTGCTACTGTTCATTATGTTTACGTTTTTTTCTTTTAAAAAACTAATGAAGGGTGCTTGGTCACTATGTGGCAAAGCAGTTTTGAAGGTTTAATGGCTTCCTTGGATAACTGGTCGCCACACATTGTACAGAGAGGTCTTGGAGAATGTGAACCATCTGTTGCAGTGAACCTGTAATTTAAGTAGGACTCTTGGTATTCTCTTTAAGTGCAGCTTTCTTTTTGTTGGCAATCTTAGGGTCTTCTGCGGTCTAATCATTGGGTCTTTAACCCTTTTCAAAGAAGCTCTCTGATGACATTTGTTTTTTAACTCATTTTGGCTAGGCTTAGCTTGTGGGCTTACCAAAACTGTGACAGAGACAAGTGTGCAGTGTGGGAAAGAGGCATGGATGGAAGTATTAAATAAAATAATGTGTGTCATGTGTGTGCCACATGCAGACTAAAATAAGTGGCAGATTTTGACTTAAAGCCTGCCCCCAGATGCAGCTGTACAACTGAAGTACATCAACTCACTTGCTACTATAAAGCCTGCCACCAGATGCTGCTTGTTACTTGCCACTCAGTGATAGGGTTTTGATATGTGTCTGGAAGTGATTGAATTATTATGGTGCAGTCAAACTTCTTTGCTAATGAATTTGCTACTGTTAATTTGTTAATTTGCTAATGTTAATTTGTATTTCCGGCTGCTCCCAGTGCTACCATCACCACCCCAGATCATCAGGCATTAGATTCTCATAGGGAGCATGCACCCTAGATCCCTCGCACGCACAGTTCACAATAGGGTTGAAACTCCTATGAGAATCTAATGCTGCCGCTGACCTGTCAGGAGGAGGAGCTCAGGTGGTGACATGAGCAATGGGAAGCTGCTGTAAATACAGTTGATGCTTCCTTTGCTATCCTGCCTCTGCTCATCTCCTACTGTGCGTACCGCAGCTGGATGGGGAACCCTTCCTTACAGAGCTTCTTGATTATGGAGCAGTGGAAGTAGACAGTTAGTAAAAAATTAAACAGACAAATAGTTAAATAATTGTAAATTGTAATAATGTGAGGGAAGCAAAATTAGGGACAGTGCTGTTTTAGAGAGGATTGTCAAGGAAGGCGTTTCTGAGAACATAATATTTGAGCCCAAAACCAAAGAATGAGAAAGATTCAATTCTCCAAAGCCAGGAGAAAGGTATTGCAGAGAGACAAAAGAACAAGTTCCTGGTACAGAGGATAGGAACAGCCTAGGGTGTTTGAGAAACAGGTGAATGTGATCAGAAAGAAGAGTGGAACCAGCAGCATGGAGCCAGGGACCAAGGGCAAGAACTTACAGGGCGTTAAGATGCATTATAAAGATTGATGGTCTTACTCTAAGGAAAGTGGAAAATCAGGAGAGTTCCATGTGTAATAGTTTATTTGATTTACATGTGTAATAGTTTATTTAGGTTGCTAAGTAGAGAACAGACTTGAGGGATAGATCCAGAGTAGAAGACTAGTTACCAAGTCCAACTTTGTCGTGCATCTGCCTAATAATTCTTGTCCTCGCCCACAAACAACCTTGGCCAATCAGTCTTTATAATCTTAAGTTGAATTTAGGCTGTTTAAAAAAAAGAGTATTGTTTATTGGGTTGTTTTTGCAGGTCATATGGCCCATCTATTATTGTGATATTAATATAAATGGAATTGCAAAAACAGTTTTTTCTAAAGTTTTGTTTTTTAAACTATCAGTGCTATCACTGTTCATACAAAGACAAAAATAAATTTTCAGTTCCCAGAACTGGCATTTCTCTCAACATTGCCTGGAATGAGTTATAAAAATGACAAATGTTAGCCTTCAAACTAGAAAACAGAGTATCAACTACATTCCACAAAAATTGTAGAAACAGGCACGTAAGGCTGAAATATTCTAATCAAGGAGGAGATAATGAGTGTTAATTATGAATATAATTAAGCATTATTCTTAATAAGAAGGATACAATGAATAACAAAAAGTCTGGATAACAGGTCATCAAGGTTGATGGAAAAATAAGGAAGATATGGGGGACCTTATCAATACCAATGAAACTGCTTGATGGAAACAACCAATTTTAGCAGTGTTATGCAAAACATAGCTTTTATTGCACAGTAGGTGTTAAATACATATTTATTGAAATAATAGCTATATATCTGTTGAGTTAGATGAAGAAACAAATTTCTACCAGGAAGTGTCTTGGTCCAAATGATCTGTGATGTCCTTATTTTTTAAATGGAAATTGCTTACAGTTTCTTTTTTTCCTTTTTTTCTAAAAAGATTTTTTAAATCTGTTTTCAAAACAGCTTTGCAAAGGAATCTGTAACTTGTTTCAAAATTTATTAACACTTTCTAATAGTGTCTGTAATAAAATAAGTCTAAATAGCTCATGCGATCAGATTGTGTAGTATGGCCAATCCAGGCCTTTCAGTTTCAACAGATCAGTTCACATAACTGTTTGACAAAGCAAGAAACAACAACAAAAACAAAACGTTTAATAACGATAACTAAACTAACAATCAGCCTGTAGTTACAGGTTTTGCATGTCCAGGCACACAGACATACAAAGAAATGCACTTAAATACACACATGCATATTAGCACACATAGTCTTAATATCCAGAACTAACCTCTTACAAAAAGAATGCTGCTTTTTATATTGCAGTCCTGAATTGTTGTTGAGCAATGTCTCATCAAATATTTCTAACTCTAAAAGATTTAAACTTAGAGCTGATGCCATGGTAGTATAAGAACAAATACATTTCCCAATCATCTTTTAATTGTATGCCACGTTTCTTTAACATATAGTCATCGATGCCTTCACTCACTCATAAGTCAAAGAAACCTCAACTCAAAGTGACAAGGGCTACAAGGGCGTGTATTATTTCAAAAAGCGAAAAGCCCAATTTCAGGTAGTCAGGAAGAATAATAAGTTCAAGAGATCACCATGGTAGCTGTAATTAATAACAATATATCCTGTAATCTACTGTAAAATTGCTAGAATGTAGACTTTAAGTGTTCTCACTATGCAAGAAAATGATAGATACATGAGGTAAGACATGTGAATTATCTTTATTTAGCCATTCGACAATGTACACACATACCAGAACATCACATACCAAAATATCACATTGTACACCATAAATGTAAACAATTTTTACTTGTCAAATGGAAAAAAACAGTATAAATCTTGGAGAAATGCAACTCCAGAATAAGTTACTCTATAAATATATACAATGACTATGCACTTGTAATAATTAAAAATTTAAAATTTTTTAAAAATAGGAATTTATGTTTATCAAATAAGGTAATACAGTGTCTCAGTGACATCATTAATGATTCATGGTTCTACACAGTTTCATTGTGCTCATCATCACAATTAGCCTTTTCTTATATTAACACCTTCAACATTGAAAGTTGGCTAATGCGTGATTCCACGACGTCTGATACAAGCATGACTGCAATAAGAGCCAGAACAATGGTATACACCTTGTCTCTATTACGAGGAAGACTTTCTCAGAAGCTTTCTAAAAGGCTCATCTTGATATTTCATTGACTGTATACCTGCCTCAAAATCAGTTCCAGAAATGAGAATGAGACCACCAGTTTGCCTTTTTACCGTTAGAAAACGTCTTAGACTCATGAAACAGCAGGCCTTCCCTGAAATACGTAAATAAGCAGAGGACAGGTGGCTGAGCCTGGGCTTGACTGCGAGGAAGATGAGGAGAGTGGGTGTCAAGTTGACAAACCAGAATACTGAGGAATGCTTTGAAAGTTAGCGTAGTATGAAATGTTGCAGAGAAAGATTTGACGAAAACAGGATTGTTCAGTCAGCCAAAGGAGAGGAGTTCTAGATTTTACATCTTAATTTGTGCTTCAGATATTCTAGTTAAAAACTGTGTTACTACACTTTACAGAATGTTTTGAATCAGCAAAGAGGATAGTATCTAGAACACAGGGAAATTGCCCCAAACCTTGAATTACTGATGGATACCTTTTACAAGAACATCTATTCTCCTGTTATGAAGGATAGATCATATAATTAATTTAATCATTCCACCTATGGAGTTATAGGTAATGAGTAAGATTTTTGTCTGATAATTAGAGGCAGGAGTGGCATTAGAAAAACAAATTTTAATTGTGTTTTTTGTATTGAGAAAAAAACCTTGTAGTAATACTAAATTAACATTTCAGTCCCAACATCATTATGCACTTTTTATTTAATCATTTACTCTCCCCTAATGTGTTTTTAAAGGCAGATTTCTGGATAATTTAATGATGTATAACTTAAAATCAATGTTAAGTAATAAATGTAGAATGGGACTAATTGTCTTTTTCTCAATTTTTAAGATCCTGACTTTAAGGACCTTGGAGCTTTGAAACCATTACCAGGTTGGTAAAATAGATATTTCATACTGTTCAGAAGACTTTGCTTTCTGCTATGAAATACACTTTTGGTTTATTATTCAAGATCCATTTTTGTGTGTTTGTTTGGCATTTTGTTATTTAGCGTGTGAGTTTGAGATGGGCGGTTCCGAAGGAATTGTGGAGTCTGTACAAATTATGAAGGAAGGCAAAGCTACTGCTAGCGAGGCTGTTGATTGCAAGTGGTACATCCGAGCGCCTCCACGGTCCAAGGTCAGTCTTAAGATGAAACCCACACTTGACAGCTGACGTGAGAAGTGTCTATAACGTGCATTGCTTTGAAACAACTGGACATGTCTAATACATTTCAGAGTGCAGTCATCATAGGTTATGATTTCATTTTGATTTTTGAGATGTAACTTATCTTCTCTTGACCAATCTAAATTTGATGTCATAAATAGCAGTCTAGAGAGTGAGTTGAATAAATTATTTGATAACCTAGACAAGAGACTTTAAGGTAAGTCAGCCTCTGAAACGCAGATTGAAATGGTATGCAAGAACCATGGCTCTAACTACAATCACACTTATGCTCTTATTGTCAACATCTGCAGTTGGTTGATTTCGTAAACGAAAATTATATCTGTAGAGGTTTTTCTGGGGCCTACAAAATCATTAATATCTGGCATGTAAAATACAAGTGTGGCAAGGGCTGGCAGCAATGGTAACAGGGCCTGGGAGATCCTGTGCCCATTTGAAGGAGACAGGCATGACTTAGCTGCCTGTGAAGCTCCGTGTGGTGCTGTTATGAGAAAATGTGGGTCCAGCATTATCAAGCCCTGCATTGTTTCTCATAACTTGCCAGAAATCTAGGTTTTATGTTAATCACCCTGATTTTTGAGGGTTGGCAATACATTGCAAAAATTAAAAGTGTTACATGTATTAAGCTAAGTCTATTGTGGGTTAGATTTTGACTCAGACCCCAATTTTGGAAACATTTCCATGGAGCAACTATGTTGATTCTGTTTATGGAAACATTTTCCAAAATACAGAGGATGAATCATTTTGTGCCAGCAGGTGTCATAGGACTAAGGTGTTATTTGTTCATTCTCCTGCTTTTGTTTTTATTCCTCAGTTACAAAGTTGTAAGAAAAAATATTGACTTACTAGATTTGTAGTCATTTATTTATTGAGGCTGAAACTGTATGTTATTTAATTAATTGATTTTGTGACTCAATAAATTCTCAAGCCCTCTGCTGGAGACATGAAAAAGCATGCCAGGCCCTGTTCTCAGGTGTTTCTGTTTAGTTCTTAGACAAATATGTAACAGAATAATCTAAGCAGTAAGGTTAGATCATCGGGGTATTTGTAAGGTATAACAGAGAGAGAGAAAAGACCCCTTACACCAGATAGGGTAAGTCAGTGGTAGACTCGCACAGCTGTCAGTATCCTGGTGAATCTTCATGAGAAGTATTGTGTCCGGTAGAGTGAGAAGGCTGTCCAGGCAGAGGGAATAACATCTATAAAGTCATGGAATCATAAAAGAGAAGAGAGTATGCTTTTTCAGGATTTAATGTAATTGCACGTGACCAAATGAAAGCGTGGATAGGGAGGTGGTATGGATTTTTCAAGCTAAAGTGTTCTCCAGGCCTCTCTAAAGAACTCAGCCTTCATCCTGAGTGCTTCAGTGACATGGAAAAACAAAGCAGAAAAGTGATATGACCGGCTTTGCATGTTAGGAAAATTGGTTTTTCCTGCAACGAAGCACTGCAAGCGGAAGACCAAGTGGGAAGCTGTGGCGGTGATCCCAGTGTTGGAAATTAGGCCACGGTGGTCCAACGTGAGGGAAATGTTAGAGAGAGATAAGATAGAATTTGGTGACTGGATATTTAGGCTGAGGGGAAAAGAAGAGCCACTTTTTTTGTTTGTTTGCTTTTGTTTTTGTTTTGTTTTTGAGACGGAGTCTCATTCTGTCTCCCAGGCTGGAGTGCAGTGGTGCGATCTCGGCTCACTGCCACCTCTACCTCCCACCTCAAGCAATTCTCTTGCTTCAGGAATTACAGGCGTGCACCACCACACCTGGCTAATTTTTTTTTTGTATGTTTATTAGAGACGGGGTTTCGCCATGTTGACCAGGCTGGTCTTGAACTCTTGATCTTAGGTGATGTGCCTGCCTTGGCCTCCCAAAGTGCTAGGAGTGAGTCACTGCACCCAGCGAAGAACCTCTTTTGAGGGCACTGGTATTTCTTCACTTGATTTTTTCTTGCATATGTCTCTAGGGTTCGCATATAAAATGGAAATGTGGCACCTTTCCCCCAACTTTCGGTTTTTCTGCTTCGTTTTTCCGTATGTCACTGAAGCACTCAGGATGAAGGCTGAGTTCTTTAGAGAGGCCTGGAGAACACTTTAGCTTAAAGAATCGACACCACCTCCCTATCCACACTTTCATTTGATCACGTGCAATTGCATTAAATCCTGAAAAAGCACACTCTCTTCTCTTTTATGATTCTACGACTTTATAGATGTTATTCCCTCTGCCTGGAGAGCCTTCTCATCTTGTCTACCAGACACAATATTTCTCATGAAGATTCACCAGGATACTGACAGCTGTGCGAGTCTACCATTGATTTACCCTGAATGTAAGGAGATTCAGAGATCATGCTCCAGCTTCCAGCTTTGATGCTTGCATTTCTCTTTGCCTCTGAACAAATCTTAGAGAAAGTTAATTGCATTGTGAAGAAAGACAGTTATTTTTCTTCTATTTTTTAAGTCCAAAGCTTTTGCTCACATAAAACCATAAAAACCCACTACCTATATTACCAGAGAGCTAGGTTGCAGCTTATTATGCTTTTTTCATAAGACGTGGATTGACGTGCAAGGGCTATTTGTTTTTCTTAAACTCTACGAATGGAAAATTTTTAAAGACTTTTTAAAAAACAGGGTTATATGTGCCCCCAGCTTACTGTCATAACCAGGACGTTTGTCACTACGGTCTTAAGGAGAAGGTTTTCATGACAGTGTAAATGCACACCCTTTTTTTCCAGCTGGTAAATAGACTGTCTTTTGTACAATTCCAGAGCAACAATAACCGATGTACCTGTCTGTTACAGAATGTGGCATTCTGTGACCCAAAGGGAAAGCTGCCTGCAGAGCTGGACAAAGATGGCTCTATTGTAACAGGCTTTCTCTGTTAAATTAAAGGTTAGAGGATGGGAAGTGGCTTTGAATACTGTGGAGAAAAGCAAGGACTGGAGATTACTGCCTATGTGGACTTTCTATTTTTATAGAGTTCCTAGCAGCTTATGAGAATAGACTATCAAAGCGCAAGTTAAACTTGAAATGGCTTGTGGTGAATATTTGAATGACACCTGGTGACTGAACCATATTGCACAAGGAAAGTGCTGAATAGCTTACTTGACTGTATTAAAATGTATACACATTACGACTTTTCCAGCTTTTGACAAACAGAAAATATAATATCTGATGTCTCCTTTACTAAAGAATATTAATCTAGATGGTCCCGTTTAATTAGAATGTGATTAATCTAGATTTCTTAGAATTTGGAAAACCAGAGGCAGAAAGAACCTTGTTACTGACTACGTCATTTAAAAGATGAATAAACTGAGTCAGATAATGAAATTCAATGTGAGTTGACAAAGGAGTGTAGACATACGCCTCTCTGAGCAAATACTATGGCCTCCAATTCAGAATCTGGTCTGGAAAATAGCCACCAGAATGAAATGATGGGAGACCAAATCATGGTAACTATTAATTTCATGAAGCCTGGACCGTATTTATCTCCAGATACCCAGTGCCAAGCACAATGTCTGTGATTCAGTTAAAACTCATGGAATAAATAAACTGATTATTTCTTTTTTTAAAAAAGGATATGGTACCAATCTTCAAACATTTGAAGGACTGTCACATGAAACAGGAATAAAACTTAATCTGCAGGAGTAAGACTTTTAAGTACCGCCATTTATTTGAAAGTTTTAAACTAAAGAAATAGCTTTTAATGTAACACAGAGAAGCCTTTTATTTTAATAACAGACATTGAATGAGATTTCACCAGAGGAATCCAAGCAGAGGCTGGCAGAGATTTTGAATAATAGTTAAAAGTCAAGTAATATTTTGGCACAGATAACATGAAAGTCATCTGAAAACCAAATTTAATGAATCTATGATAAGTGACTTGCCCAAATATTTGGCTAGTTAGCAACAGAGCTGGAGCAAGGTTAACATCTCCCAATTCCTGGCCTAGTTTGCTCTCACAAAACCACATTCTTTGAGGAAATGATCAAGGTTTTTAAAAATTAATTTTAAACTATTTTTAAAATTTATTTTTAATTGACAAATAATGCTTGTTTATATTTATGGGCTATGGTGTGATGTTTCCATCATGGAATGATTAAATCAAGCTAATTAACCAATCTGTCTTCATATTCTTATCATTTGCTAGGACAGGATAAGGGACAGAGTCAAAATATGTATGAAATACATAAATGAAGGTAATTTAATGTTTAATGTTTTTGGATAATAAAACTCTAGCTTATACAGTTTACTCATTATTTCATATTTAAAGTTGACTCAGTTTGTTGTTAACTAATTCAAAAATATTTTCAGTCAAATTAAAATAAAAAATATAAACACTTGACAAATACAGTAAGTATCTTACACTAAAATTGTGATAAAGGTGTTAAAGTTACTTATCTAATGAACATAAATTTCCAGCTCCAGTTCCTGGGATTGTGAATATGATAAATTTGCCTTTGTGATTAAGGTTACCAGTCAGGTGACTTTGGGTTAATCAAAAGGTTGATTATCCAGGTGAGCGTAATCTAACCACACGAGCCCTTTAAAAGTGGAGCAGATTCTTTGGATGTGAATGAAAGGGGAAGTAAGAGAATCAAGGGACTGAGAAATGTGTTCTAGGAGTGAGGGTGACCCCAGTAAGCATTCCTCAAAAAAATAGAGAACTTGGTCCCAGAACTGTGAGAAACTGGATTTTCACCCTCAACTGCCCTCGCCAAAGAACCCAGTACTTCTTACCTATAGAACTATTAATAGTAGATAGTAAATGGGTGTTATTTAAAGCTGCTAAAATTGTGGTGATTTGTTATGGAGCAATAGCATATAAATTTGCTTTTACCTCCAAAATGTGAGAATAAAATTTGGCAAACAAAGTAAAAATTTTAAATAGGAAGGTAAATACCACAAAAATTGTACAGTTCAAGTTTTTTAAAATAAAATGTCATTTTTATACTCTCATCTTTCGA